GTTTGGCCGCAGAGACTGCACTCTGGTAGACATAGTTTTCATGCCCAACACCCCCTTCAATTTATGACCAGAAGGAGGAAGCCAAAGATGTGCCTTACCCGTTGCAGAGGAGGCCAAGGTGCGGCTAACCAGCTTCCCCAGTCCATCCAGCTCCAGACAGGGCAAAGCACTGCCTCCCTCCTCCTCCACCCTCAAACACCCCGTTTAAAAAGCTTCCCATTTCTCTGCCTGCCTTTGAGATTCCACCTGACATGAGCGATGGTGAGGGGTCCTCTGGCTGCAGCAAGCTCTGAAGAACAACTTCTGTGTTGGGTGCCCTTCCCCACCACACAGATGAATTTTAGGTCGAGATTTCAGCTCAATTGGCCCAAAGAAGTCATTTCAATTTAATATTCACTATTGCTTATTCAGGATCACCGACTCAACATTAGAATTCGGTATTGTTTTCCTCGAACAGGACAAGAGAGCTGGCATCCAGGTGATTTTTATTTTTTCTTGTGTTTTTCTGTCTTTGTAAAACCCCTCCGTCAGCTTAAGTCTGCACTCACCCACCAAACAAGCTCACACAGGCTACAAAGAGGTTTCATCCTCACATGAACCATCAGTGCACACTGGACACGCGAATCTCCCAGCGAGACTTATCACTTCAATAAACACTGCAGACCATTTCTTGCTTTTTATTCCTTCTGTGTTGGATTCCCAGCCCCGCTTCCATTGATCAGTGTGGTAGCGCCCCCCGGCTTGGCAGCTGTAAGGACCCAGCAGCCTCAGCCTCATCCAGAAGGGACCTGTTTGCCCGTCGCCAGTAACTTTCTTACATAAACTCAGCTGCAAGAAAACTTCACAGCCAGCTGCCTGAAATCACTGGGGAACGCTTCCCCCACCCGGCCCACCTCTTCCACAAGAGGAACCTCAGAACCTGTCCTGAACACGGTGACTGACTAGGTACTGAGACTCAGTCAAAACTTGTGACAGGAAAGTCTTGTCCGCTGACGACGCACACGGTCGGCTCCGAATGTAAAACTTGCACCTCCTACTCGGCAAATGGGAATCCCACGCGGCGGCGCGTCAGACGTGCGGATGGGTTTCCCAAGCTGGACGTTGACCTGACCCCAACTTCCCGCAACACTGGCTGCCGCGGAGGCACCCACTCCTCCCTTCACACTGATTTGTTTTTCTTCCCAAAGCCGGTTGGCGCCGGTGCCACTGCCCCTCGCCGCCCACCTCCTCCAGGGAGTCTTCCACGTGGGACTCTTGTGTCCACCAGCGGTGACCATGGGGTCGAGTTTCCCTTTCAGATCTGGTCAGCGCTCCTCAGCTAATCCCGTGCAAGGGGTACCCGGGGCTGGCTACTAAAGGTCTTCGGGCGCCTTGGAGCAGAGGGTCCCAGCCCGCGTCTCCTCCAGAGCTGAGGCGGTTTCAAGGAAGTTTCTGGCGGAGAGAAGGGAGGCGGAACCTCGCGTCCCATGCACACGCTAATCAGCCTGGGGGAGGAAGGGCAGTGCTGGCTTGGTCACCAGGTTCCGTTACAGAGAGAGAGAGAGAGTTCTTCCAACCCGTGGCTCACTCCCCAAATGGCCACAATAGCCAGGTTTGGACCAGGCTGGAGCCAGGAGCTTCCCCCGTCACCCCTGCAGGCAGGGTCCAAAGACTTGGGCCATTTGCAGGGAACTGGATTGAAAGTGGAGCAGCAGGGACGCAAACCTGTGCCCATGTGGCATTGCAGGGGCAGCTTTACCCACAATGCCGGCCCCAGCAGCAACTTCTTTTAATGCATTTTATTGTATACGAGGGCGTGGTGTGTTGTGCTAGGAGCCAAGGCCCCTCAGGTTTTGTGTCATTGGGGCACACAAAGGCACAAAGAGAGTGGCTCCCCAGTTGTAAGCCCCCCCACCCCAGCTACTTCAAGGCGGTTTGACAGATGTTCAACTAACACCGAGATGTGTCCATGCATTATTTTTGCTCTTGTGAGATGGTCCCTGGAACTGAGGCGAGCTTAGGAACTAATGTCATTAACAACGACTTGGGGAGCAGGCCTTTAACAACTTACACTGTCTCAGCTGCTCCCTTTGGCTGGAAGAGCTCAAGGATGTTTGCACTAACATTGTAAAACATACTTTCAAGCTAATTGAGGGTTGTTAAGCCCCGGTTGTAGTAGGGATTTATGTTTAAAGTTTTTTGTTTCTGATCTTTATGTTGCTCTCTCTGTGATATATTTTCTCCTTTAACTGATAAGTTGTAGAATGAGAAACATAGTAGGAGTGTTACTGGTTAATACGAGCTGCCCGCTCAGGAATTCCTAGCCGTAAGGTCAGAATGGCTAACGCCCTGCTTCAAGGTGAAACAATTTGCAGAATTATCTTTGGAAACACCGTTTGACCATGACATAAAGAGTCTGTGCAAAAGCCTGTGACTTCTGTATAAATAAAGGGGTCAGCTCTCTTGCATTGTCCATTATGATCATGAAATTATAGTAGTCCATCTTTTCTCTTTAGCTTGTTGAAAATGCTGACTCCACACATCTTTCGTGAGCTCTGAACTCAGCTACAGCTGGTCTCCAGCAGTGTTGCATATATTTAGATAACAGACTTTCATAAAGGAGATATATTTCTTTTGATCCCATGTTTTTACTGAAATAATCATTCTGGTTATTCAGACTGAGGATTACACCCACAGCCAGCCTGTCAGGTTGTTCCACAGCTGTGAATTTGGTTGCAGAGTTCAGATCTTTATTGTAGGACGGATACATGCATTGAGTCAGGTTTAAATAATACAGACTTGTATTTGATTATCAATCACATTGAAAATCCAAGAAAACCTGGTAATAACTAACAGACTTGATTATTAAGCAATGAGTCACATGACATTCACACTCATTCCCACTTTCAAGGTTATCTACATGCAGAGAGACCAACTTTGGGGCTGTTCATCTTTCCTTCAATGGCCCTAACACATGAAGCTCACTCCTCAAGTACAATGGTTGTTTCCTTCTGGTTGAGGTTGAAAGATCCTGTTCAGAGAGATCTTCCATCTGCTAGTGCGATCTCCAAAGCAGCCCAATGGCCAGGACTGGGCCAAGGGCCTGGAACTCAGTCCCGGTCTGCCAAATGGATGGCAGGGCCCATGCAGTTAGGCCACCTTCTACTGCATTCCCAGGCACATTAGCAGGAACCCAATTGGAAGTAGGGCAGCTAGGAATCAAACCGGTGCTCATATGGATGGCAGTGTCATATGGGACAGTGGTGGCTTAACCAACCGTGTCTACAGTTATCTTCCAATTACTTCGGATACTTTAGCTATGCAATACATCTTGTTTTCTACTTTTGGGAATTTTGGGTTCCAACTTAACTTTTTCTTGCCTAATTGCTTTGTATTGGTGTCCTTGTTGTTCCACTTCTGATCCAGGAGAAGTGCAAGATGACCTAAGTGTTGGGGCTCTGTCACATGTTTGGGACACCAGATGACGCTCCTGGCTCCTGGCTTTGGGCCAGCCTTGGTTACTGCAGTCATCTGAGAGTGAACCAGCAGACAAAAGATGCTGTGCTCTCTGTCTCTCTCTGTCTGTAACTTTGACTTTCAAACAAATTATTTTTAAAAAATTTTTAAGCAATAGTGTTACATAAATAGTGAGGAAAAGCAAAAACAGAAGCCAGGATATAAAGAGCTTCCTCAGAGCTAACGTTGACTGTCATTAGCCTTTCAGCTGCCCATTACCCTCCCTCCCTGGCTCCCACTTGTGCAGAACCCAAATCACCAGCTCTTAATCATGGCTGCACATTGCAATTACTTGAGAAGGCTTAGAATTCCTCATGTTTGGGCTCGGTACAATGGCTTGATTGCCTAATCCTCCCCCTTCAAGTGCCGGTACCCCATATGGGCACTGGTTCATGTCCCAGTTGCTCCACTTCCCATCCAGCCCCCTGCTTGTCGCCTGGGAAAGCAGTTGAGGACAGCCCAAAGCTTTGGGACTCTTCACCTGCATGAGAGACCCAGAAGAGGTTCCTTGCTCCTGGCTTTGGATCAGCTCAGCTCCAGCCATTGTGGCCACTTGGGAGTAAACCAGCGGATGGAAGATCTTCCATCTCCCCTTCTGTCTGTAGATCTGCCTTTCCAATAAAAAGAAATACATCCCTAAAAGAAAAAAAAAAAAAGAGAGAGAGATTTCCTTTCATTCAGGCCACATCCCTAACCACCTGAATCAGAATCTCTGAGGTGGAGATCCAAGTATCTTTTGAAGCTTCTCAGATAATTTCAAAGTACATCCAATATACCACTGGTTTTAAAGTGTAAAGATGCACAAGTAATCAAATGGAATGGAGTAGCATAAAAAGGGAGTATTTCCTGGGCTTAAATTTGTTCTCCTTCCATTTTAGGCCTCCTGGTAATTTTGTTCTTTGGGGTTCGGATCCTCCCCTTTTACCTTCAGGCAGACACTAGTTAGTGTTAAGAAGCTCAGTAATGTTCATTCTACGGTTCTGAGTCCTGGAAACCATACAGATTTTTGATACCCAGCTCCTTCCTCTGTCTTTGACTAGAGTAGACTTCTGCACTCTCTCTTAAATTCCCTTTGTAGCCTCAGTTATGTGGGTATTGCAACTGAGATACGTCACAGACACCAGAGTCCACTCAGGTGCATGCTTCTTGGACTTCTTCATCCACTTTGACAATTTTCATTAAAAGTTCTTCACAGCTTCATGTGCCCTGGGCTCAGCAGAATCAGCAGTCTTTTCAATACCCCAAGAACTCCCCAGTCTTGTCGTTAGACCATCCAAGACCTCCTTCTGGGTGATGACACTCATCTTACTCTCAGGAATCCACTTCCTCATAGTTCTTTTCAAAGCCCAACACCTGCCTCTCGCTCTCTTCCCCACACAGCAGTCCAAAGGAGAGGGACATGGTTCCAGTGGGACATGGTTGCTTTATGTTTTTGGAATATGACCTGTAATATTTACAACAAGTTTGTATGGGAGAGACTACTTCTTTTGTCCATTTATAGCATTCTACTTGTTATATATTTCTTTCTGCTGATCAAAGGCTAAACGTACGCTGGAGGGTTTCCCGCCCTTCTTCCACTGGTGGGATTTTGGCCCTGTATGAGTTTTCTGGTGTTGAATGAGAGATGAACTCTGGCTGAAGGCCTTGTCACAAGCATTGCATTTATATGGTTTCTCTCCAGTGTGGGTTCTCAGATGCTTTGTAAGGGAGGAGCTCTGGCTGAAGGCTTTCTCGCATTCTCTGCATTTGTAAGGTCTCTCGCCTGTATGAACTCTCTGATGTCTCACAAGAGCCGAGCGGTCACTGAAGACCTTCCCGCATTCCCTACATATGTAGGGTTTCTCCGCAGTGTGAGTTCCTTGATGCTGAATAAAGGATGAACAGTAGCTGAAGGCTTTCCCACAATCACTACACTCATACGGCTTTTCTCTCACGTGAGTTCTTTGCTGCTGAGTGGGGCCACGCTCTCTGCACCCATAGGGTTTCTCTGTGCTATGCACCCTCTGGTGCTTAATAAGGGACGAGGTGTTGCTGAAAGCCTTCCCACATTCCCTACAGGCATAGAGACTCTCTCCAGTGTGGATTCTGCGATGCTGAATGAGGTTTGTGCTCTGGTTGAAGGCCTTCCCACATTCCTTGCACTCGTAGGGTTTCTCTCCCGTATGAACAACGTGATGCTGCACGAGAGCTGATCGGTGACTGAAAGCTTTCCCGCATTCACTGCACTTGTACGGCTTCTCTCCAGTGTGGACTCTCAGATGCTGGCTAAGAGAAGAACTCCGACTGAAGGCCTTTGCACACTGGCTACACACATAGGGCTTCTCTCCGGTGTGGATTCTCTGATGCAGGACAAAGGCGGAGAAGTAACTGAAGCACCTGCCACACACAGTGCACTCCCAGGGCTTTTTCATCGGGTGACTCTTCCGACGTCTAACTGGGTCTGAACTTTGCCCGACTTCATGGCAATCTCGAGGCTTTTTCTTGTGTTTGGCTGAGGCATGCCTCAGAACTTTCTTCTGATTCCCTTGCTTCCTTTCTAACATGCCTTCACATCCCCAGGCTTCTATCAGCCTAGAGCCCCAGGAGTCATCCTTTCGAAGTCTTTGTAGTATCAGCTCTCTTTCGTACGATTCTTCATCATAAACTTTCTGCTTTGAAAGGAATTCTTCAGCTGCAGGCATAGATTCCGAATCTGAAATAAATAAGTACAAATGTTTGTCTTCTCTACGTTGGGGGAAGTAAGAGTTTTTCTTAGAGGGAATAAGAGAATTTTTTTAAGTGATGCCTGTTGGACCAGCATTGTGGCTTATAGGATAAAGCAGGCATCTGAGATGCCAGCATCCCCATAGGTCTGTGTCCCAGTTGTTCCACTTATTTTTAAAAATTAATTAATTTTATTATTTCATGACATGGTTCCATAGCAGTTATTTAACTTTTGCTACAGCTCTCTACAAATAGCCTAGGAGAAGCAATAGAAGATGGATTAAGTGTTTTGGTCACTGCCACCCACGTGGGAGATGTGGGTTAAGTTCCCGACTCTTGGCCATTCCTGGCCCAGTGCTGCCTATTGTGACCACGTGGGAGTAACCAGGCAGATGCAAGATCTCCCTCTGTTTCTCCCTTTCTCTCTGTAACTCTGACTTTCAAATCAATCAAAACCAGATGAAAAAAATGTCAAGGAAGAGGAGTGGCAACAGAACAATTAATATAAGGCACAACACAAGATCAGCTGATGACAGTAGAAAACTGAACAAGTGAATCCACAGAAGGAATGAGGCAAATGTGAGCCTGAAAGAAGAGAGGAAAGGGCAAGAAAGAAAACATAGGCTATGATGGAAAAGTTTTGAAAAAGTATTAGACAAAAAACAAAAAAACAAAACAACATGATTCATAATAACATCACCAGAAAACAACCACATTTGATCTTTTAAATTTATTTGGAAGGCAGATTTTACAGAGAAAGAAGGAGAGACAGAGAGAAAGATTTTCTGTTTGCTGGTTCACTCCCAAATAGCCACAACAGCCAGAGCTGAGCCGATCTGAAGCCAGAAGCCAGGAGTCTTATCCAGGTCTCTTATGTGGTACAGGGCCCAAGGACAGGGGCCATTTTCCGTTGTTTCTCCAGGCCTTAGGAAGGGAACGGTATCTGAAGTGGAGCAGCCAAGACATGAGGGATGCCAGCATGCAGGCAGAGGATTGTTAGCCCACCTTGCCACCATGCCCTTTCATTTCTAAAACTTGTTCCACTCTTTCTTCTTTTTTTTTCTTTTTAAGATTTATTTATTTTTATTTGAAAGGCAGATTTACAGAGAAAAAGAGAAACACAGAGGGAGAGCTATCTTCCATCTGCTGGTTCACTCCCCAAATGGCTGCGACAGCTGGACCTGAGCCAATCTGAAACCAAGGGCTTCTTCTGAGCCTCCCATGTAGGTTCAGGGCAACAAGGCCTTGGGCCATCCTCCATTGCTTTCCCAGGCCACAAGCAGGGAGGTAGACTGGAAATAGGGCAGCCAGGACTAAACTGATGACCATGTAGAATGCCAGTGCCGTAGGTGGAAGATTAGCCTGTTGAGCCACCAACTCCCCTTTCTTCTTCTCACATGTTGACAAGTCCCTTTATTTTTTTAAAATGATTTATTTATTTTTAATGGAATAAAAATGGGCTCACAACAGGCCCATGTTGACATTTCTTAACATCCAGTTTTAGGCTCTTCCAACTATATTCTCTCCTTTACAGACATTATAAATGGGTTCCAGCCGAGATCGCATATGGGCACTGATTCCTGTCCCTGATGCTCCACTTCCCATCCAGCTTCCAGTTTGTGGCCTGGAGAAGCAGTAGAGGACAGCCCAAAGCCTTGGCACCCTGCGCCCACGTGGGAGACCCAAAAGAAGTTCCAGGCTTCGGATTGGTTCAGCTCCAGCCATAACGGCCACTTAGGGAATCAACCAGCAGATGGAAAATCTTTATTTTTCTCTCTCCTTCTCTCTGTAAACTCTGGTTTTCTAATAAAAATAAGTAAATCTTTAAAAAAAGAAAGACCTTATAAATGTCCAGTGCAAGTTAAACACCTCATCCTTTCTGTGGTTTTAATTACTTTTTAAATCCCAAAACTATATCTCTAGTTTAGTTCTTTCTTCCCATCCATATTCTTAACTATCTACTTTACATACTCACTTGAAATTTTCAAATTTCCAATGCAAGATCCCTCGCAACAGGAACCTGTCCCCACCCCTTCTACCAAATGAGAAGGCACCATCTATGAACCAGTCAGGGGACTCTCAGCAGACATCAAATTTTCTGTTACTTTGATCATAGATTCTCTGTTTCCTGAACTGTGACAAATCAGTTTCGGATGCTCATAAACCCTTTGGCTTATGATATTTTGTTATAGTGGCTCAAACAGAATAAGATATTTCTGTTGCAGTAAGTAGCTCACGTTACCAACTAAGATTTTCTTACCCCAGAATACCAGGCTCCCATAGTGGTCCACCTTCATGTCCATGCCCATGTACCTCTGGGCAGAATTCAGCTGTTCATCCTCCTCATGGGCCAAGTCAATTTCTTCATCTTTAACTGTCATCAATTCCTGGAAGAACAAGCACATTCTTACAGGGCTTGGTAACGATAAAGAAAACAGTCTGGAGAAGCAAGCATCTTTCAGAGGTTAAATTTTAATTATAACGTATTGTTATAAGATATTAAATATGAGTCTATGTTAAGGAATATAATAATGAATAGTAACATATATTACTTTATTTATTTTAAATATTTATTTTATTTTTTATTGGAAATTCAGATATACACAGAGGAGGAGAGACAGAGAGAAAGATCTCCCCAAGTAGCCACAATGGCCAGAGCTGTGCCAATCCAAAGCCAGGAGCTAGGAGCCTCCTCCGGGTCTCCCAGGCAGGTGCAGGGTCCCAAGGCCTCGGGCCATCCTCCTCTGCCTTCCCATGCCACAAGCAGGGAGCTGAAAGGGAAGTGGAGCAGCTGGGACTAGAACTGGCACTCAGGTAGGATCCCTGTGCAAGGCAAGGATTTTAACTACTAGGTCACTGTGCCAGGCCCTATGATTTATTTTTTATGTGGTAAGTTCTTCGCATATACTTTATCAAGAGGCTATCATATTATTAACATTATTTATGACTGTAAGGGTCAGATCTTTGATTTGGACCAAGCAGACTGATGACAAAATTATGTTTTTAACTATACTCTCCTGCCTTTTACTAATAAGCATAACAAATTGTCTTTAAAAACCGAAAGTATCACCACTTTGGACTTGTCTTACTATTCTTTCTAACACACTCTACTTTCCTCCTTTCCTTTAAAATAAAATTCTCCAAAATAGTTGTCTGTTGTCTCCAGCTCCAATTTCTCTATTATTTTTTTTAAAGATTTATTTTTTTTAAAAGATTTATTTTTATTATTTTTTTATTGGAAAGGCAGATATACAGGGAGGAGAGACAGAGAGGAAGATCTTCCGTCCGATGATTCACTCCCCAAGTGAGCGCAACGGCCGATACTATGCTGATCTGAAGCCAGGAACCTCTTCCGGGTCTCCCACACGAGTACAGTGTCCCAAGGTCTTGGGCCGTCCTCAACTGCTTTCCCGGGCCACAGGCAGGGAGCTGGAAGGGAAGCGGGGCTGCCGGGGCTAGAACTGGCGCCCATATGGGATCCCGGGCGTGCAAAGCGAGGACCTTAACCAGTTGCACCACCACACCGGGCCCTCTCTATTATTTTTTAAATTTATTTTTATTTTATTGGAAAGCCAGATTTACAGAGTTTACTTCCCAAGTGGCCTCAATAACCAGAGCTGAGCTGACCCAAAGCTAGAATTCTGGAGCTTCTTCTGGGTCTCCCACAGGCGTGCAGGGTCCCCAGACTTTGGCCCGTTCTCTACTACTTTCCCAGCCCACAAGCAGGAAGCTGGATGGGAAGTGGAGCATCCAGGACACAAACTGGCACCCACATGGGATCCTGACACATGCAAGGTGAGGATACAGCCTCTGAGCCATTGCGTTAGGCCCCTTGCTTTCTTTTGACTCCATACCAGTCCAACCACTCCATGAAGTGGTTGTCGCTGCACAGTCAACAATTTACCTGCAGATTTGTAAACACAGTGGTAAATTCCCAACCTCATCTTACTTGAGTAACAGCATTACACATAACTAATTATTACCTCCTCCTGATTATTACCTCCTTTTAAAAAATTTATTCATTTTTATTTGAAAATCAGATTTTTCAGAGAGAGAAAGAGAGATACAAAAAAGGTCTTCCACCCACTAGACCACTCTTTAAACGACTACAATGGTCAGAGCTAAGCTGATCTGAAGCTGGGAACCAGGAGCTTTCTCTGAGTCTCTCACATGGATGTATGGGTATAGGATCTCAAGGACTTGGGCCAACCTCCACTGCTTTCCCAGGCCATAAGCAGATAGCTGGATTAGAAGTAAAACACCCTTGAGCCCGGTGCGGTGGCGCAAGTGGTTAAGGCCCTCGCCTTGCACGCCCGGGATCCCATATGGGCACTGGTTCTATCCCGGCAGCCCCGCTTCCCTTCCAGCTCCCTGCCTGTGGCCCGGGAAAGCAGTCAAGGACGGCCCAAAGCTTTGGGACCCTGCACCTGCGTGGGAGACCCGGAAGAGGCTCCTGGCTTCGGATCAGCATAGTATCGGCCGTTGTGCTTACTTGGGGAGTGAATCATCGGACGGAGGATCTTCCTCTCTGTCTCTCCTCTCTGTATATCCGCCTTTCCAATGAAAAAAAAATAATAATAATAAAAATAAATCTTTAAAAAAAGAAGTAGAACACCCAAGACAAAAACTGGCATCCATATGAAATGCCAGCACCAAAGGGTGAGAGATTAGCTTGCAGTACCACTGTGCCAGCCTCAATACTTTTTTTTTCTTTTAACAATAATTTATTAGGCTTGGCGCAATGGCCTAGCAGCTAAAGTCCTCGCCTTGAGCGCGCCAGGATCCCATATGGGTGCCAGTTCTAATCCCGGCAGCTCCACTTCCCGTCCAGCTCCCTGCCTGTGGCCTGGGAAAGCAGTCAAGAACAGCCCAAAGCCTTGGGACCTTGCTCCCACATGGGAGACCTGGAGGAAGTCTGGGCTCCTGGCTTCAGATCAGCATAGCACTGGCCATTGCGATCACTTGGGGAGTGAATCATCGGATGGAGGATCTTCCTCTCTGTCTCTCCTCCTCTCTGTGTATCTGACTTTGCAATAAAAATAAATTTTTTTAAAGATTTATTTATTTATTGGAAAGTCAGAGGACTTGGAAAGTCAGTGTCCCCACAGAGAACACTGCTGTTGCAGGTGGTGGTTCTACACAGTACACCATAAACTTTCATATGGTTTCTAAGATTCCATATCTTTTCTTCCTTTCAACCCCCTGGTCCCATCTTCTCTCCTTTGCAGCTCCCTGTTCATCTCCCTGATCTGTATATGTTGGTGAGCTACAACTCAGCAAAGAGATTTCATCTCTTCCTCATCCACATCCACTCTCAGAGTTGCATGATTTAAACTACTGTACATATAAATCAGTCCTAAATTCAAGCCTCCAGGGGCCAGTGCCATGGCTCAACAGGCTAATTCTACATCCTGTGCCGCCAGCATCCCATGTGGTGCCAGTTCATGTCCCAGCTGCTCCACTTCCCAACCAGCTCCCTGCTTATGGCCTGGAAAAATGGTAGAGGATGGCTCAAAGTCTGTAACAGACCCTTAAGACACTCCCAGCTCCTGGCTTCAGATCAGTTCAACTCAGCTCACCTCTGGCCATTGCAGCCATTTGGAGAGTAAACCAGTGGATTAAAGACTTAGTGTCTGTCTCTCCTTCTCTGTAAATCTGCCTTCCAAATAAAAATTGATGAATCTTTAAAAAAAAAATTCAGAGGAGAGAAATGTAACTCAAACGCACCTGAAACTCAACAGGGAGCAGTTCAACGGTGGGCTCCACGTCTTCTGTGCTCTGCTTTTGGAGTACAGACGCATCTTCGGTGGTCACAGCTGAAAGATGTAGAAAACAAGCCATAAAGTAGGAAAATTCTGCTTTTGCAGTTCCATATTCACCAAGACAAAGGCTGTCGCATACCACTTGAATGATATGAATAAGCCTGACTATATATCTCAAAAAACTCACATGCAGGAGCCAGCACTGTGGCCCAGTAGGTGAAGTCACTGCTTTCAATACCAGCATCCCACACTGGCGTCCCGGCTGCTCCGCTTCTGACCCAGCTTCCTGCAAATGCTCCTGGGAAAGCACAAGAGGTTAACCTGAGTACCTGGGACCCTGCCGCCTATGGTGTAAACCAAGCTGGATTCCTGACTCCTGACTTAGGTTTAGCCCAGCACGGATGTTATGAACATTTGAGCAGTGAACTAGTGAATGAAATCTCTTTCTCTCTCTTCGCCTTTCAAATATATACATCTTAAAAAATAAAAACCTCGTATGTTTGTGGAGTAGGCAGTGTGCAATAATCAGGTGAGTGTTCTTGTTTAAAATACATGGTTTATTTTATTTACTTAAAATGGGAATTACAGACAGAGGGAGAAACAGAGCAATAGATCTTACATTAACTGGCTCACTTCCCAAATCAGTGCATGGCTACAACACACATAGTAACAACTCTTAGCTAAGCTGAAGCTAGAGGCTCCTTCCAGGTCTCCCGTGTGGCCTTTGGGCCACTTTCTGCTGCTTTTTCGGGTGTATGAACAGGGAGCTGGATCAGAAGTAGAGAACTTGTGAATCAAACTGGCATGTATTTGGGTTGCCCCAGCAACAGGTAACAGCTTAATCCTTCATGCCATAATCCCTTATGCCACATGGTAGCCCTCCAAGTGTGGTGATCAAAAAGTTAATTCCAGGAGTAGCGTCGTATGCAGGGTCCAGATCCCATGTGGACGTTGGTTTGAGTCCTGGCAGCTCTCCCTCTGACTATCCCTCTGACCATCTCTGCTAATGGCCTGCGAAAGCAGCTCAGGAGCCCTGAACTCATGTCAGAGACCTGAAAGAAGTTCCTGATTCCTGGCTTCAAACTGCCACAATTCTGTCTGTTGTGGAAACTTTGAGAATGAACCAGCTGATGAAGATTTCTCTCTCTTCCTGTCTCTAACTTTGCTTTTTAAAAAAATTTATTTATTCTTATTGCAAAGTCAGATACACAGAGAGGAGGAGAGACAGAGAGGAAGATCCTCCATCCGATGATTCACTCCCCAAGTGAGCGCAACGGCCAGTGCTATACCGACCCAAAGCCAGAAGCCAAGACTGCCTTCAGGTCTCCCACGTGGGTGCAGGGTCCCAAGGCTATGGGATGTTCTTGACTGCTTTCCCAGGCCACAGGCAGGGAGCTGGACGGGAAGTGGAGCTGCCGTGATTAGAATGGCGCCTATATGGGATCCCGGTGCATTCAAGGCAAAGACTTTAACCACTACACCATGGCGCTGGGCCCTAACTTTGATTTTCTAATAAAAATAAACAAATTTAAAAAAATTTTTCAAAAAATGTCAGATTCTGGGCCCAATGCAGTGGCCTAGCAGTTAAAGTCCTCGCCTTGAATGCACCGGGATCCCATATGGGTGTTATTTCTGATCCTGGCAGCTCCACTTTCCATCCATCTCCCAGCTTGTGTCCTGGGAAAGCAAAGATGACCCAAAGCCTTGGGGCCATGCACCCATGTGGGAGACCTGGAGGAGCTCCTGGCTCCTGGCTTCAGATCAGCACAGCTCTGGCCATTGTGGTCACTTTGGGATTGAATCATTGAATGGAAGATCTTCCTCTCTGTCTCTCCTCCTCTCTGTATATTTGACTTTGCAATAAAAATAAATAAATAAATAAATAAATAGTCACTCCCATTAGGCTTACCACTATATACATTAACATTCTAGAATAGTCTCTAGGGGTAGGCTTGTGATAGGTACTCTTTTTGTCAGAGCAAACACTATGGAACTTCTCCCCCCCAGACTGACAGAGGATGTGAAAGTGGTGTTGAAAGAGAAAATGGGTCTGCAGAATGTACTGCCATCGGAGCCTGCCAGCGATGCCCCAAATGCCTGTGGTCCATTCCGGGGCCTTCTCGTGGCCTGGGGCTGCCTCTCTTCTCTATCTTTTTATTCTCAACAAGTGTATTTCTCTCCCTCCTCCCCACTTTCAACTCCTTGTTTATTTCAGGCAGTTCTTACCTTCTTCCTCCACTTTGATGGCCAGATAATCCATGCTCACCTTCTCTTCTTGTTACGGCTAGGCTGTCCTCAGTGGCCCCTGTGTCAGAGAGGCGTGTAGAACTTCAGCAACACACAGCCTGCTTCCTGTCGAGCAGTGAGTCTGCTCTGAAGCTGCAGCTTTTCCGTTTGTTTTGCCTTCCTGTGGGGCATCTCCCTGTCTCCCCTCCCGCAGGCTTATCACTACACATTGCAGCTCGAGGCCAGGATCAGCCAGGACATGTCACATCACAACAAAACTGGAGGAACTTGGGGCAGTGAGCTCTGGGCCATAGGCACACATACACTTAGTTTCAGCATCCTCCAGATCCAACTTGGTTTAATGGCCTGCAAGGTTCTCAATGGCCTCCTGGTACGGTAGCTGGAACTGTAAGCGGGGCGCCCACAGCAGGCTCAGAAGCTTCAGGTAGAAAAAAGACAGGCCCCTTTGAAAACAGATTGCTCACTCCCTCTTCAAGATCCGCCCAGAGTCGCCTCGTTCAACTGGCCCCCCCAAAAGAAGCCAACCCCAGAACTCTTGAATAGGCAAAGCACACAAAATGGATGGGCAAGACCTTGCACTCCACTTCTTCCCATCTCCTCATTTTTTTTTTTTTTTTTTTTTCATTTCTTTCTGTCTTTATAAGGTTTGGATAAAGTGACGAGGTTTCAGGTCAAAAGCAGCAAGAGGTGCTCTGGCCCTAACCACCTGGAAAACCGCATCCTTCGCCCCTCCTGGACTCCTGCTCCCAGAATCCTCCATTCCTGAGTCCACCTCCCAGAGGCCTGAGCGGCGGCCCCACCCCCTAGCAGAACGCCCCGGTCGCCCAGAGCCCAACCCAGACGCCCCGCGCAGCCCCTCAGGAGACTTCCTCCCTGACAGCGCGGGGCGCCCCCGGCGTGGGGCTGGGCAGGGCGAGGCCAGGCCCTTTCCCCGCCGGGACCGCAGCCTGAACGCCGGGCTCGGGCTGCAGCCGGGCCCCCCGGTGTCTTACCGGACGCGCTCCCCGACCGGCGTTGTCCGCAGGGCAGGGCCCCCGGCGGGCTGCGGGCTGCGGGGACGCCGGGGATGGATGCCGACAGAGGCGCCTGCCGGCCCCACGGAGCGCGGGGCACACAAAAGGCTCGAGCCCGACACTCGCCTGCAGTCGCAGCTGCGCACTTGGAGGCGCCCGCGCCGGGTCGCGGGGGGCTGGCGGAAAGACTCCACTTCCCAGAGGGCTCGGGGACACCGCGGCCTGCCCGGGGGCGTCTGCCTGGGGACTGCGGTGGCCTTCGGCCCTGCCTTCTGCGGGAAGTGGGAAGCTGTCACCGTGTCCGTGTGTGATTTTCACCGGAGTGGGGAGGGGGCGGAAAGCGTTGGCATTTTTTCCATTCTTGATAATAAGAAAGCCCCATGTTTGGGATGATTCTGCTGCTAAGAGTCTATTAAATGGGGGGGGGGGGTTGTCTTCCCTCCCTTGGAGCCCCCACCTGCCACTAAGGCAGGAACCACTTTCCCTGTTCTCTTTAAATAAATCTTGCTTTGCAAACAAAACAAAACAAAAAAAAGGTCTATTAAATGGAAAGTCCAGCAGGGTTGAGTGAGCGCGCAGGTTCCTGACAGGAAAAATAGGAAAGGACAAACGGGATTGAGAAGATTGAGAATGAGTTCGTAGGAAAGATGAGATGAGAGAATCATACGAGAAATCGGCTTTGAATTGCTGTCCGGCGTGCACCAGGAATTAACATCAGCCCTGGAGGGGCCCTCCCTTCCCCCCTCCGCAACAGAGGAGTTAGGGTCACCTGGACAAAAGACATTTATTCCCTCTGTGTCAGGTGGCAGAAACACTTGGAGCTCTTTACAGCGTGGGGCATGGGTTGGAATCAATTATCCGAGTCCCGGTTGGTGTCGTTTCTGGAAGTCTTTCCATATCTGATTTTGCTCTCCTCAGTTCATACTGCTCAAGGCAGCCAAAAGAACGTTCTAAAAGTTAAATCGAGCCATGTTGTTGCATGGTGTAAAATGTAACCTCCTTAACACAGTTTATAATACCCTAGATTATTCAATGGTCTGCAAAGCTTGAATTATTTGCTGCTGTCTCCAATATTCCACACCTCAAACTTGACATTCCTTCAAAGATTTATTTGGGGCCTGCTGCAATAGCCTAGTGGCTGAAGTGTTTGCCTTGAATTCTTTTTTTGTTTGTTTGTTCTTATTATTTTTGGCTTAAATTCTATAATTCTGTCTTACAAATAAAGAAAGCTTCTTAAAATGGAATCATAAAAATTTTTGACATAATCTTGACTGATAAATTACATGTAATTTGAGAGAGGAAGCTGGTGAGGAGAGGGTTAAGAGGCAGGGGGAAGAAGGATGGGAGGAGGGGAGAGAGAGAGAGAGAGAGAGAGAGAGAGAACTGACTGCACCATGGTAACCAGATGTCAATCCCAAGGACATTGATCTTATTTAGTGCTTAGCTTTGTCGCTGAGATCTCAGGAGCCTGAATTCATTACCCAAACTCCCTCTTGCTCTCTTTTAAAGTCATATTTTTAGTCTTCAGGCCGTCCTAGCAGAAGCCTAGGGTTGGCCGAGTCCCTTAGGGTTGCAAGCAGACCGAGCGCAATTGCGGTTGCTGTGTTCTTTCCCATCCAGTTCATTAGCTCCCTTGAACTGAAATTTAGTCCCTCTGGGGTCGAGAAAACGGGCAGAAATTTTAAGAAGAAAACTAGTACTAAGCTGACCCCGACGTGATTTGAACACGCAACCTTCTGATCTGGAGTCAGACGCGCTACCGTTGCGCCACGAGGTCCCGGCGCGGGCCAT